TATATATTAGTTTGTTATTCTGTAAACTGGATAACAAACATTGGGGCAGTCGTGGCCTAATGGTTAGAGACTTGGACTTGTAATGCGAAGGTCGCGGATTGGAGTCTCAGGTCCAGCAGGGATTATAGGTGGGGGGAGTGAATAACCAGCGCTCTCTCCCACCCTCAATACCACAACTGAAGTGAAACCCCTGAGCAAGGTACTGAACCCCCAACTGCTCCCCGGGCTCCACAGCAATATGGCTGCCCACTGTTCACTGCTGTGTGTGTGTTGGATGGGTTAAATGCAGAGCACAAATTCCAAGTATGGGCCATACGTCATGTCCTTTCCTTTCTAAATGACTAATAATAATAACAACATCAATAAAAATAAATAACCAACTGCAACAACAACTTCATATTAAAGAAATTCTAAAAATATTTAAGAAATTAATTTTGCAAACTGAATACTATATGTGTATATAAATAACATATATAAACATGAATTTCAAGTTATTTTAAGTATAAACACATTAGTGACTTGCTAAGCATCTAGCACTGGCTTATGTTTTTATGACGGCAGTTTCAATTTTATTGTACTATCAAAATCACTGTCCAAAATGATGTGGTTATATAATTCGATAAACACAAGGTGGGGCGCATCTCTTTTTCTGATAAAAATCGGTGGCAGTATCATTGGATGTGCGTTGAGGTCACAATCAGGCCCAAACACAATCTACACAGAAAAGTGTAGATTTCCACCAAACTGGGACAAATGTCATTCAAAACGTTCAACAATTCTATCTTGTTTTTAGCAACCAAGAGTTCTGTTTAACACACTTCACCCAGTTTAAATCAAAATCGCCTCCTGAAATCAGAACGGAAATGTGCGAATCTAGCATGATTATGGTTTAATTAATCTATTGTACTTCAAGGTCAGAATTTGACATGATTGCAAGTGAAAACTATTTCCTTTTGTTTTCCTCTGTAAGTGACAACAAAGCTTGGCAACTGATGGATCATTGCTTGATGCGCTGCTCTATCCAAACCCCTTTCAATACGTAATTCTCAAAATAATCTGTGCGCGATTATCTGAAAACCTTGTGTGTGATATAATGTCGACATTTGAGGCATAATACGCAACGAGCTGTTCTCAGGCCTCTGCTTTAACTGCACCTACATGGGGACGATGGAAAAAAAGCCAAAGGGCATGGTACGCTCAGATCCAGTGGATATTTCCTGGGTGTGACAGTGCTAACTCTTTGTTTTGTGTAGAATAAGATGAGTGAGACGAGCTTGGGGAATCTGGGTTGTGCGAAAACCATGTTTTGTTGACCTTCAGTGGCCGTCATCAATGAATAGTAAGAAAAAGGGGACGACCGAGATGAGAGCGAGTGTTGTCGGGCATTGTTGGGAGAGTAAACAGCGCCCGGAGCCTGGGAAAGGGCTGGGATTTGTGCCACGGCATTTCTGAGTCATATGGTCCGCTTATCATGTTTGTTTCGTGTTTCTAGCTGACGTGTTTGCATTAGCATTCCTGCACTGTAGCGGCC